TTAATAATATTAAAATCATTAATTATGAATTATATAATATATTTATGTTATATAATATTATGTTTACTTAAAATCACTCATAAACAATTCACTTCCACATTGGTAATACTTTTATTTATTGATTTCTTTTTAATAAAATTGTTTCGATAAACGATTATCATTTATTGTCGCATAAAACATATAATTAATTTTATGTGAAAATTAATAAAAATTTTATTCTCAATGTATTCTCATATGTATTCGGATATATATTACTTCATTAAATTTCAGATTTGATTTCGCAGCACTATTCAATAACCATGTTATTTAAGTAATTTTGATAATTGAAACCGTTAAAAAAAAGAGAGCAAAAAGAAAAAAAAATGAGATAGTAATATCCGAATCTTATGTTTGTATACTAGATACAAAATACGTTTATTTTTACAATTGCCATGGCAGTATAACTTTGTCCTTGCCTCGCTGGTTGTGTATATTGATAATAAAAATGCAAAAAAAAAATGTAGTGAGTCCATAAGTAGTACATTTGACAAATTTATAAAAAGAATAATAATTGCAATATGAATAAATTTTTCTGAATATATATTATAATATTAACTGTGCTATGTTATATAGTATAATTATAATATAATATTCAGATTATTATTTCTCTCTGATTAATTATTAAGATTAATTATTAATTAAAAAATCTGAATAAGAATCTCTCTCAGAATAAGAAATATGAAAATAATCAAAAAAGACAAATTTATGTATATAAAAACATATTCAATTTTTCTAATTATTTTTAATAAATTTTATGAAAATGTGTATTGATTTGCTCCTATAAATTTCAACAAATAGACAGATTGAATATAATATGATAATACTATATATGATTTTAAATCAAATATTGTATAATTATCTTATAATACATACGAAGCATTTATTAAATAACAAATTACATTGATTTTAATTTGCATAATTAAAAACGATAAAACGATATGTAAGTACATTGTTATATAACATGATATTGATGTCTATTATATTTTGATATATTATATTATATCAAAATTCAAAAATTCAGTCATTTATGCATCTAAAACAATATTAATACTTGAATAATTGATTTATTGTATTTTTATTCAATTATTTAAAATTTTATTACGTAAGTAATATTTTTTGCATAATGAAAAAAGCATATTGTCAAATTCTATATTGCAAAACTTTAGTCAAGCTTTTTTACTTTATCATTATATTATTCTATTTAATAAATTTTTTTCATTGTTTTAATGTCTAGAATTTATTTTTTCTCTAAAGAAAATTTCATATTTTTTATAAATAACCTATTAATTTATAAATAACCTATTTTTTATAAATAACTTATACAATTTATTATTATTTACAATATCTTTGGAAAATCGATTCTGGAAAGAAATTAAAATAAACAATAAAATTGGTATATTTTATATAGTCTGAAAGTATTCATAGCATTTCCAATAATTTTACAAAAAAAATTATTCATAAATGAAACAAAGTTGATCAAACTATAATACAGAATTTTTCAAAGATTTGTTTTTGTTTTTTACAAAAGAAAACAAATTTTTAAAAAATTTTTTTATTTTATTTTAAGTTGATAACTGATTAATTTTAGTTTCAAACATTTTTTTGAAATTAGAAATGCCACAAAAAACTTATTATTTATTATTAATTATACATCTTATATTTATTATCAAATTATATATCTTTTTTTGTGTTCAGATTTCAAAGTTTCTAGACTAAAAAATTAAAAATTATAAATTTTCCTTCGAGTTTTATATAATCTTGCTGAAAGAAATCTGAATATGAAAAAAGATAAATATATTGTTGAATAATAAAATAAAAAAAGTCATGAATACTCATATGCTTACTACTCATATTTACTGAATATTATTATATTATTTATTATATGAAATATACAAAATATATTTATGTTTAATTATTATATATTAAAATATACAGAATGTCTTATACAATAAAGATAAGATAATTATTTAAATATCGTTATATATTTTTAAATCGCACAAAATATAAATTATAAAATAAAATTAAATAATTTAAAATGAATCCGATATTATGTACATTATGCATTAATGTATTTAGAAATTTTAATTATTTTAATTAAGATTTTAAACTTTCAGTTTTTTAACTATTTTTGATATTGCATGTTTTTAAATTCAAATTTATGTTATTTAAAATTATTGTAATTTACTTACTTTCTTATTTATATTTTATATACAACGCTATATTTAATAGAAGAAGAAATATTAATAATTAAATACAATACAATATAATGTAGAATTTTTAAAAAATGAATTATTGAACTTTTTTTTTTCTTTTTTATTTTTATAGAAAAATTTAAAAAAAGAAATTAAAGATATTTTTTAGAACTTAATTTATTTTTTTTTTCTTATATAATGTAAATATTTATTTATTAAGATATAGAACTAATATAGAACTAAAATATTTTTAACATGATTCAATTCTTAACTTATTACTAAAGAAATGATAAATATTTTATATTATATATAATTGATATATGAGATCTAATTTTGTTGTTCAGTCACTGAATTTAACGCCACTAGATTTTTTTTTATAGAAGTATAAAAGATAAATTTTACTGTATAAGTTAATAATATTTAAAATATTAAACAATTTATTTTAAAAGAAAGAAAAATTATTAAAAAGAACTTAATTTATTATGAACTTAATTTTTTTATATATCTCTTAAGAAAATCAAGTTATCAAAAAAATCCTATAAAAATTTTGATGTAAGAGATATAAGATTGTGTTATCACTTGCATTCTATTGTGTTAATAATTTAATAAATATAGCTAATAGTGTTAATAATTTAATAAATATAGCTAAATAAAATATAATACTAATAATCTGACATAAATGTTATATATTGATGACGTATGATTTTTAAAAATTAATGTAATTTATTTTCTACAAAAAATTAAGATCCTATTTAATTAAATCATTAATAATTTAATATTTATTGATGTAATTAGAAATTAACAAAATCTATTGTAAAAAAAAATAATGTCACACAAAATGACATTCGTTTCTTTATTTTTCACATATATATATAAATTTCTTATAAATAAATTTCAATAACAATTTATATATTGTAGTATCTTCAAAGAAAAAAAAAAGAAAAATTCAAATATTCTCAGTTTAAAAACTAAAAAATAATACTAATAAGTATTATTTATATAAATATAATATACTTATGAATTAATAGATTATGTTTAGATATTATACTGAAATAAATACTTTAGTTTAGGAAATATGTGTATTACGCAGTTACATGTGATTATTTACTAATATTTGTTTGTATTGTGTGAAATAAATGACATTGAATTTTC